CATCTGTATACAGTCTGTGTTAGCATTAGCATCTGTATACAGTCTGTGTTAGCATGAGCATCTGTATACAGTCTGTGTTAGCATTAGCATCTGTATACAGTCTGTGTTAGCATTAGCATCTGTATACAGTCTGTGTTAGCATTAGCATCTGTATAGCAGTCTGTGTTAGCATTAGCATCTGTATACAGTCTGTGTTAGCATTAGCATCTGTATACAGTCTGTGTTAGCATTAGCATCTGTATACAGTCTGTGTTAGCATTAGCATCTGTATACAGTCTGTGTTAGCATTAGCATCTGTATACAGTCTGTGTTAGCATTAGCATCTGTATACAGTCTGTGTTAGCATTAGCATCTGTATACAGTCTGTGTTAGCATTAGCATCTGTAGACAGTCTGTGTTAGCATTAGCATCTGTATACAGTCTGTGTTAGCATTAGCATCTGTATACAGTCTGTGTTAGCATTAGCATCTGTATACAGTCTGTGTTAGCATTGTCGTCTTTAGCATAGCATCTGTATACAGTCTGTGTTAGCATTAGCATCTGTATACAGTCTGTGTTAGCATTAGCATCTGTATACAGTCTGTGTTAGCATTAGCATCTGTATACAGTCTGTGTTAGCATTAGCATCTGTATACAGTCTGTGTTAGCATTAGCATCTGTATACAGTCTGTGTTAGCATTAGCATCTGTATACAGTCTGTGTTAGCATTAGCATCTGTATACAGTCTGTGTTAGCATTAGCATCTGTATACAGTCTGTGTTAGCATTAGCATCTGTATACAGTCGGTGTTAGCATTAGCATCTGTATACAGTCTGTGTTAGCATTAGCATCTGTATACAGTCTGTGTTAGCATTAGCATCTGTATACAGTCTGTGTTAGCATTAGCATCTGTATACAGTCTGTGTTTGCATTAGCATCTGTATACAGTCTGTGTTAGCATTAGCATCTGTATACAGTCTGTGTTAGCATTAGCATCTGTATACAGTCTGTGTTAGCATTAGCATCTGTATACAGTCTGTGTTAGCATTAGCATCTGTATACAGTCTGTGTTAGCATTAGCATCTGTATACAGTCTGTGTTAGCATTAGCATCTGTATACAGTCTGTGTTAGCATTAGCATCTGTATACAGTCTGTGTTAGCATTAGCATCATCTGTATACAGTCTGTGTTAGCATTAGCATCTGTATACAGTCTGTGGTAGCATTAGCATCTGTATACAGTCTGTGTTAGCATTAGCATCTGTATACAGTCTGTGTTAGCATTAGCATCTGTATACAGTCTGTGTTAGCATTAGCATCTGTATACAGTCTGTGTTAGCATTAGCATCTGTATACAGTCTGTGTTAGCATTAGCATCTGTATACAGTCTGTGTTAGCATTAGCATCTGTATACAGTCTGTGTTAGCATTAGCATCTGTATACAGTCTGTGTTAGCATTAGCATCTGTATACAGTCTGTGTTAGCATTAGCATCTGTATACAGTCTGTGTTAGCATTAGCATCTGTATACAGTCTGTGTTAGCATTAGCATCTGTATACAGTCTGTGTTAGCATTAGCATCTGTATACAGTCTGTGTTAGCATTAGCATCTGTATACAGTCTGTGTTAGCATTAGCATCTGTATACAGTCTGTGTTAGCATTAGCATCTGTATACAGTCTGTGTTAGCATTAGCATCTGTATACAGTCTGTGTTAGCATTAGCATCTGTATACAGTCTGTGTTAGCATTAGCATCTGTATACAGTCTGTGTTAGCATTAGCATCTGTATACAGTCTGTGTTAGCATTAGCATCTGTATACAGTCTGTGTTAGCATTAGCATCTGTATACAGTCTGTGTTAGCATTAGCATCTGTATACAGTCTGTGTTAGCATTAGCATCTGTATACAGTCTGTGTTAGCATTAGCATCTGTATACAGTCTGTGTTAGCATTAGCATCTGTATACAGTCTGTGTTAGCATTAGCATCTGTATACAGTCTGTGTTAGCATTAGCATCTGTATACAGTCTGTGTTAGCATTAGCATCTGTATACAGTCTGTGTTAGCATTAGCATCTGTATACAGTCTGTGTTAGCATTAGCATCTGTATACAGTCTGTGTTAGCATTAGCATCTGTATACAGTCTGTGTTAGCATTAGCATCTGTATACAGTCTGTGTTAGCATTAGCATCTGTATACAGTCTGTGTTAGCATTAGCATCTGTATACAGTCTGTGTTAGCATTAGCATCTGTATACAGTCTGTGTTAGCATTAGCATCTGTATACAGTCTGTGTTAGCATTAGCATCTGTATACAGTCTGTGTTAGCATTAGCATCTGTATACAGTCTGTGTTAGCATTAGCATCTGTATACAGTCTGTGTTAGCATTAGCATCTGTATACAGTCTGTGTTAGCATTAGCATCTGTATACAGTCTGTGTTAGCATTAGCATCTGTATACAGTCTGTGTTAGCATTAGCATCTGTATACAGTCTGTGTTAGCATTAGCATCTGTATACAGTCTGTGTTAGCATTAGCATCTGTATACAGTCTGTGTTAGCATTAGCATCTGTATACAGTCTGTGTTAGCATTAGCATCTGTATACAGTCTGTGTTAGCATTAGCATCTGTATACAGTCTGTGTTAGCATTAGCATCTGTATACAGTCTGTGTTAGCATTAGCATCTGTATACAGTCTGTGTTAGCATTAGCATCTGTATACAGTCTGTGTTAGCATTAGCATCTGTATACAGTCTGTGTTAGCATTAGCATCTGTATACAGTCTGTGTTAGCATTAGCATCTGTATACAGTCTGTGTTAGCATTAGCATCTGTATACAGTCTGTGTTAGCATTAGCATCTGTATACAGTCTGTGTTAGCATTAGCATCTGTATACAGTCTGTGTTAGCATTAGCATCTGTATACAGTCTGTGTTAGCATTAGCATCTGTATACAGTCTGTGTTAGCATTAGCATCTGTATACAGTCTGTGTTAGCATTAGCATCTGTATACAGTCTGTGTTAGCATTAGCATCTGTATACAGTCTGTGTTAGCATTAGCATCTGTATACAGTCTGTGTTAGCATTAGCATCTGTATACAGTCTGTGTTAGCATTCGCATCTGTATACAGTCTGTGTTAGCATTAGCATCTGTATACAGTCTGTGTTAGCATTAGCATCTGTATACAGTCTGTGTTAGCATTACCCCCTTTAAAAAGAGAGAGAGCATCTGTATACAGTCTGTGTTAGCATTAGCATCTGTATACAGTCTGTGTTAGCATTAGCATCTGTATACAGTCTGTGTTAGCGTCCACACAACAAGTCCTACAGTAAATCCTCAGTGTCCGTGCTGTGTCCCTGAGAGAGACGGGTCTATGTGAATACCCACCAGAGTTCAATCTTGAAGCTGCTTCTTCAAACCGCACAAGAGAAACAAAGAAACACTAAAGGGGGGCGTTCACACCGACTTAACTTCGTGCGTACAAAAGCGGTCAAGGTTATGCATGAAAAGTGAATGGTGAAAGCGCGTCAGGTGAACTCGCGAGATGCCCCGGCGTCACTTGGCGCGCGTCAAAGCTTCAAAAGTACTGGACGCGCACACTGAAGCTTTTAGACACGCGAACGCTCGTGCAGAATCAAAACAATCCGCATTGACCCGAATCGAGCAACAGCTATGCTTTTGAAGCTTTTGACGGCGGGCTTTCACCAATCAGGAGATCGAGGAGCAGCAGCAGCAGCGGACTTGACCTCTGTCATGAAGAGAAGTCATGTAATCTGTTTGCTGACTTGTTTGTTGTCATTATTGTTATTAGTAATATATTTTATGAGTAAGTAAACGTCTAGTAACATAAAATCATAGAACCACAAAGCAGTGTAGCTAAATGTAGTTTATTATTTAAAAACAAGAACCAGACTAGACGACTGATCTGGCTCAGAGCAAGAGCCGGGAGAGGCAGGGAGAAAAGAGCGAGAGCCGTGGAGATGCCAGGGAGTAGGCGAGAGCGATTACGAGGAGAAGGCGAGCGAGAGCAAGGGGAGAGCCGTGGAGAGGCGAGCGAGAGGCGGGGAGAGGTCGAGAGCGAGGCGGAGGAGAGGCGAGCTCCGCGGGGATTTGAGACCTCAGACTGGGCGTGTGACATGCGGAAGTACCGCTGTACAAGCGAAACTCCGTCCGAAAGCAGCTCCTGGATAAATGACGGACTCCTCTGCAAACCAGCTGCTCTCAAGTCTGTGGTGAACCCCAACATGTTTTGGTTCGAGAAGCCCTACAACCAAGTATAATTTTGCTTTAATTATCACAAATAATGGAGTCGCTGCTCATCATGAAAACTCCCAACGCTGTCCAGTACTCACCTGAGACAGACAACAAGCACGCACCACCCCACCGGCGTCAGGCGCTCACTCGCGTCAAAACGCTTCAAGCACCAAATGACAAAAGCACAACGTGCGTCAGCTGAAGCGCAGTCAAAAGCTTTTGAAGCGATTTAGAGTCTGTACGCAGCCTTAACACCTCGAACAGCGCACTGACTATAGATTACATTTATCTTTAAAGTTTACGACTGACAGAGTGAGCTAGTCATAGAAATCACCACATTGGATTAAACATGAACATCACATGTGCAAAGAGGGTTCATGGTCCATGAGACAATGGAACGTGTATTATTTTAGTATGTGCTTTGAGACAATAAAGTGTAGATTGTTAGCACATTTGACAACTATGTAGTGGATAGCCTGCCATTTGCTCATGGTGCTTCAGTCCTCATCACATGTCTGTACCAAGCTTTAGGAATCCAGTCAGTTAAGGAGGTGTTCTCTGCTGTGGGGACCCCCGCAGCCCAGAACCCAGACATAAACCATTTGATCCAGGGAGCACTGTATACAACATGATCGGAAGGTACCATTCTGCACCGACGAACTACACTAACGCAGGTCAAAACACACAACATCATCACCTTTACTACACACGAAAGTCTCATCAATGTTAATTATATCCTTTTAATAAAACCAATACAGCTCTAATCTCCAAATGTTTTTGTCCAGGAGAAAACTCAATAAACTCCACAATGCTGGACTCCAGCCCCAGGCCCAAGACCTCAGGACCCCAGACCTCATGACCCAAAGGACCTCAGACCCACAGACCACAGAGGCCCCAAGACTCAGGACCCCAAGACAGACCTCAGGGCCTAGACCTCAGGCCCAGACCTCAGGGGGCACAAGACCTCAGAGCCCAAGACCACAGGGCTCCAGACCTCAGGACTCCAAGACCATCATGGCACAAGACCTTCAGTGCCCCAAGACCACAGGGCCCAAGACCTCAGGGCACCAAGACCTCAGGCCCACGACCTCAGGGCCCAAGACCTCAGGGCCCAAGACCTTCAGGCCCTAGCCCCAGAGCGACACCAAGGTTTGTCTGTTTCCCTGTTTATGACAGAGGTAGCACCACCCACAACCACCACAATGCACTCAGTTCAAAGAACTGTGTTACTTTAGAAAAAGTTTTACTGCAGTAATGTTTTCCCTCTAGGATTATAATGTGAACCAGATACACAGGATATAAACAAATGCACGGAAAGGCTTTAACGATAGTCTTTTTTCTCCATCTATACGTTGAGATCATATGATACTTACGTCCAACTCTCTTCGAGCGCCACCCGTTAACGTAGCAACTATAATAGTATCGCCCTGATGAGTATCACAAACTCAGATCCTCACAGTCCTTTTTGTCTCGTATTAGTTTAGTGATGTGATAGCTAGATGTTTCCTTCACAACGAGAGCGACAATTCCAGCCTCATGTGACATTTATAGTCACTCACTAAGCCTTAAAAGGATAAGTCTTCCACCGTATTTTACATACTGACATATATGTTCTTTTTCTTACCTTAACCTTATACTAGATTAATACGTACCTGTCTGGTCTTAGTCCGTGCGCTCTGTCATGCAAAACGGACAAAAACGGGAAGTCACAACCGCAGAAAAGCCGTCCTCAGAGTCACTGTACGAGCACCCAAAAGGTAGCTCCGCCTAGAAGCTACCAACTCTTCCAAGTGTTCCTATTAAATGTATAATAATTCCTACGTGATACACACTGCAAAGTATAGAACACAGAAATAGTAACAGTCTATTTTCTCAGCGGATAAAACGGGTACTGATATTGGGTGAGGCGTAGTAATCTGAGGTGCGTCTACGTCCGCGGCCCTAACTTCTCTCCGGAGAACATCTCTCTTCGCCTCGACATCCGCATAGAAGCTGCGTGACTTTTAGTCCACACAGTAGCAGCGAGAGAGAAGTCTCCGGAGAGAAGTTCAGGAGCGACTACGGTCCGCCGCACTAACTTCTCATGCCGGAGACTTCTAAAAACTCATCTATTAACAACTCATTCACAAAAAAGAGTGGAGGAGAATATTCTAAGGTCACATTTAGATGTTTTATCATGTTGGAACAGTGGTAAAATACATGAGTCCTGTACCTTTAACATCTCCACAATTAACAGAAACATATCCTCCTAAGTTTAATCTGAATATAACGATACGTGGACAAACCAGTCTGACCCCTGCTCCTGAAAGTATTCCACCTCTTTCACTTTAAACATTTCTTTCAAACAGTGAGAGCATACGATATCTTTGGTATCAAATACCGATATCAGCCGATGTCAAGCCCATCACATTTACAGGCTTATGCTAGAGGATACTCGATTACATACTCCTAAAATCATCTTTATAAACACAACAGTATTATTATAGCATGAAATGTACCATTTTCTTTTAAATACTATTTTAAACCTTATCTAGTATTTATAAATGTATCAAATATAATTGGTGCCTATTTATACTTGTCTAGTTCTTCTCCTTACTCTTTATTAAAACTACTACATACCGCATTAAAGATAGTTTTCAACTCAAAATAAGGCCACAAAAAGCTCCTGTGTGCCTTTTCCACCTCGCGCCCATTCTAACTAAAATAAAATACATTCTGAAAAATAGAGACATAAATTCAGTAAGTCCAGAACCTTTTACATCTCAGCATTAATATAATTAATATTTTATAACATCGTTTCAGCCAATACTTGATATCGGCCATAATAAGAAACATTAATATTCGTGATATCAAATCGGTCAACCTAAGTTCATGATCGGTGCATTCCCAATTTACCATTTCTACATATGCTAAAATCACAACGGTTTTACATTTCCTGTCCATCTACATCGGAATACACTAAGACAAAGTTTAGAATGTTTTTAGGATTCATCTGCGCCGTTTTGGTTAAGAATCAAAACAAAGAATCCCTGTACATAAGTGTTCAATAGTGCCAAACTGCCAGAAGGTGGTTGAGAGGTACTTTCTGGGAACTGCCACTGTGCCACTAAAAGCTGAATAAACTCTGCTGAGACTTTACATCTTTCACTAGATAAAATATACTACTGGAAACAGGGGAATAAATCTCTAAATGACACAGTGCGAATAGATGTAATAAAAAAAAAACCCATGATTAAACTGTTTCTACGTCAGCCTTCCTCTCACAGAAGAAGAGCCCAGAAGCTTCTAGCAGGACCATAAAACACGTCTGAACAGCAGATGTGGGAAGTGTGTCCGCGGAACAGAAATGAGGCAGGCATACTCCTCTGAACAGCATCTTCCACCTGAGCAGTACATCACATGAGGGCCCTCAGTGCACACGACCAACACAGACCCAGCATGAGGAGCGTAGTGCAGAAGGAACTCTCCAAGAAGACTGCCGCGACATAGGAGCAGAGGCGAGGGACTCTCCATTAGAAGACTGCCCCAGCAATGATGAGCAAAGGCTGAGGGTACCTCTCCCAAGAAGACTGTGCAGGAAACCTCCATCCGTGTGTCAGGACCTCTTTAAGCCTGCCACACAGAGAGCAGCATGGGCGCCACAGGTCCAACAACAGAGCAGTGCTGACCAGTTGTCGAGTGGCTGGAGTGGGGAAGACCACTCTCGCGCTCCTGAAGTACTGTCTGAACTGGGCTCAGGGCTCAGTAGAACCAGTAGCTGGAGCTGGTGTAGCCGCTGTCCTTCAGAAGATGAACCTGTGAAAGGGCAGCGCTACAAGTCTGATGCAGCTCATACAAGTGTATCCATCCCGCGCTGTAAAAACAGGTGCATTTCTCTTCTGCTACAGCCCATTCACATGTTTGCGTACTTTCAAACATTTTATTATAGTGTTTTTTAACCAACTGAGACCGTCACTCCCAGCCCTGTAGCTGATGCGTTTGAGAATCATACATCATAAAACGTTATAAAAACATCCTTCATATCCTGTGCGTCAACTGAATTGTCACATGACATCCGCTCTAAACTGCCTGCAATTCATCATGTAATGACTTGGTAACTGTCAGCGTACTTGTGAGATCCACAGACTCTCTCCCCACCCATCCTCCACACTCCTCTGTCCGTCTCTCTAAACCTACCTCTTCTCTTAGACGGCTCTGGAAACGGAGAGCAGACTGGTCTGGACTTTGCTGTGAGCTCATCTCTTGAGGTCACACAGAGCTCAGACAGACGTCAGTGTCTGATAGTGAACCTCATCAGAGTCACACTGCTTTCCTTGCCCTATATGGATGCACCTCCGAGATACCAGCAGTCAGCCAATCATATCCCAGCACAGAGTGTGCACATCGCGTCACCAGATGTCGAGGCTTCATCACTGAGCGTCAGAAGAGCAGTAACTTCAGGAAGCGGATCACAGATGAAGAGCAGAATTAAGACCGTCCCCTGTCCCACCTCAAAGCTCCCATGCAGCCTCCAACATCATGGTCCAGAATTCCCCATCTTCTCTGCTGAGTCACCGCCACCGTCCTGGGACCACATGTTGAGCACCGATCGATAAGCGGAGCCTGCCCAACTCTCGAGACGAGCATGTACGCTGGCTTCCTATTGTTCAGCACCAACAGATAGAGAAAATACAACCGATACCTGAGGCCCGCCGATCAGGGAAGAACAGCAGTTTTTGGTCTGGACCAGGTTCAAAGCTGAAACCAAGATCCAACAGTGAGTGTCGACAGAAGCAGACATCCTCCTGTAAGCTGGGCAGACTTGCCCTTTGAACATCTTCTGCAAGGAACAAAATTTCCTAACCAGGACGACCTGGAGCAGGTGGGACTGGAACCTGACCCGAGCCATCGGTCACCAGGACTCTGTACAGAGAACTTCAAACAAGTAAGTGTTGTCTTCACCAATCTGTCTACAGCTCGTCCACCTGAGTGTCCAGGAGTTTATGCAGCGATTAACCTGCTGCACTGCTTTGAAGTGACATGCAAGTCGTGTGAGAAGTTTCTTCTGTGAAAAGACTCAGACCACTAAAGTTAATGCTGCAAGATGAGTATTCTCAAAAGTCTCTTGAAAAATCTCCCTGGAGTGTTCCAAACGGTCGCGCATGGACTGTTGAGTGCTTCCTTCATGGCCGTCAGTCCTGGACACCAACACATAGACTTTTAAAAGGTCTGCTAATCCAGTGGAACAGTCATAAATCCACAAAGTCATTGAAAACCTCAGAATTGAGCTCATAGTAGGATCTCTATCAGGACAGAAGCATCATCCATCTTCCACTGTCTGCTGGAGAGCAAGAACCGTCTCTTCCTGCCCTGATACCAGCAATCTTCTCCAGAAGTCTGGAAGGGACTCAGCCGAAACACTAACTGACTGTGTTCCATGCTCTGCACTGGCCTACATGCTGCAGTATGTCAGAACCATGTCCTGGAGGAACTGACAACCAAATAAGTACAACGACGTCTGCAGAAGGTATTAGTAGGAGACATGAACCCTGCTGATGGATAACTGCATGAATGGCTCGCGTTCAGTCCTCATAAACAAACTAGCTTCAAGTCCTGATCAGACACTAACCAATTTAAATCTACGTCTGTTTATACAGGTTTTTTGACTGTAAAGAGCTCTCAAGACCCGACTGAAAGTGGTGCATCCAGCGCTGAAGTTCCAGCCCCTCCCATCTCACTGAACTGGATCTGAGGAGTCGTAACATGAATTGTCTGAGTCCTCAATTGTGTCCTGAGTTCTGTGTCTAGACTGCGGAGTCCTCACTGTGAGCTCGTGCCTCTCTACGAGAGTTTGCGTGTCACTATCATATAAACCTCAGGTATTCCTCCTGTATTGTGAGATCTGTGTATCGTCCCATAACTGATGGAGCAAGTTCCTCCGATGACACAGAGGTAGCAGCACCGGTTAAAATGAACCATAATGTATAATTCACATCATTACAGTTTAGCACTAACCAGAGGTCTTGTTTATCAAGATGTTAGAGCCTTGGCAGTGGGGCGTGAGCTTCAAGGTCTGGAAGATAAATACCAATCTTACTAAGAAATAAGGCTATAGAACTTCTTTATAATAGACACAGCTGTGACATACAAAC